AAACAAAAACCTTAAGTGAGATTCTTAATTCTTTAACTAAAAGTAAAGCAAGTTTACCTTGTTTTAACTGGATTTCACAACGTCGCTCTTTGACTCATCCTCACTTTCATTGTCTATCACATAACTTGATCGCTTCAAATTACGCTGTCCTGAAATCACCTTGCTCCCTGACGCTTCATCAGTTTCGTCGTATCCCTCACTCTTTTCTGTTTTTCGTTTTTTCACATCTTTATTCGTTCCCTTCTCTGTCGTTTCCTCATCTCCCGATATCGCATCACTAGATCGTTTTTTCGCGCCTTTATTATTAATTTCCAAATCGATCTCTAATGCATATTGGGTTATTTTATTAATCCATCCCGGAATTTTTTTACAATCTTCGTCTTTAGTTGTCTTGTATTTTTGCTGGGGGGATGTTTTAAAAATGTCCGATGGCACGACAAAGTATAAATTAAAGTTATTCACATCCTTCCTCCATTCAAGTAGACAGTTAAGGTCATTAAGTCCTTTTATCTATACAACCTGGGTTTAGTGATAAAAGCGATAACTACAAACTATAAATTTAATTATAACCATTGTCCCCTACCTTCATGCCATGGTTCTTTGAGACAGTAATTTGGTACAGGTCCAAGGTTTTGCTATCGAGGCTAAAAGAATCAATCGATGCAAATGTCTTTGATTTTGGTCTGTTATAATATTCCTTACGTGCTTCATTCAGTGTTATGAACCAATTACACTCCAGCTTCTCGATATGTTTTTCGGTGACCTCTAAGTTTTTATTATTCAGACACCGTATCCTAAACATACCACCATTTTGCAACTTCTGATGGGCAAAATCTTCGAATAGATTCCCCCGAAATCCAGCGATATGTGATAGTCCGTGACTATTCATGATTAAATCGCGAACATTTTTCTTTGTCCTAATTTCATATTCCCGAATAATTTTATCAAACACCCTCTGAGAAGCAAAACGATACACTGCACTTGTAAATCTCGGAACCGGGTCAAGATGTATAAGTCTTCCACTAATGGCGCCTGTAGGCATACCCGACTTATCAATAGAGTTTATGCAGTCTTCTAACTTGGCTTCATCAATCAGCTGTTGGTATTTCTGCTGATAGGTTTCATCATCCCACTTCAAAAGAACTGACCTGGGTATTGGGCCCCATTTTTCTATCAAGGTTTTGAGTAATTCAAGCGTGAACTCTTTGCCTTCATTGTTTTTCTTATTCTTATATTGAAAGGTCCAAAACGTGGTGATTTCTTCTTGAACCCAAACTGGCATGAAGTATTGAGTAAATCCTGGCCATTTAACAGCCTCATTGAATCTTTCTACTTTCGGTGATGTAAGCAGGACCTTGTAGGCCGAATATGGAAATGTTAAAGCTTGTGCATCAACTAAAAGGAAGTTATCGCGATTATTCAGCGTCTTGCGAAACAGGCTAATATCTCCTTCTTGCACATTACCGTCTGGTGAGAATTGATAACAAATTTTTTCGGTACATTGCCAGACTATTATTGCCTCAGGGTAATTATAGCGAATGTAAAAGAGAAGATATAACCCGAAATATGTCTTTCCGATACCGGGTGTACCGGTAATCGTGCAACCAGTATAAGCAGGGCCATCTCGTTTGCGATTCTTTTCAATTAATTCGAGTAACTGCAAATAACAGTTCCGTATAAGAAGCTTTGACCCATACATATTTTCATCTCCCAGAAAGAACACATCATCCGGTAGACACAGTATTCCTCCAAAATTATCCATCAGCTTTGACGGCAATTGCACATCGGTACATTCTCCATTGTCATATAGCATACCATCTGAATCGGTAATCACACCTTTATTTAGGCAAATCTGATTATCTTTAATCGTAAAGTAAGAATCCAGAGCATT